CCTCCGTCTTTGCCTGGGCCACCTCACAGCTCAGCGTGGCGCTGGCCCCCGCCTCGGCCTGCACCTCGCTGCGTGCCGGCTGCTCCTCGGCAAACACCACCTTGGGCTCTGGGGGCACACAGGGGAACATGGGATCAGAGACACAGTCAGGCCAGGAGACTACAGGGCAGGACGGCCCAGACCTAGCAGTTATAGAATAGAACCTGTGGGCTCTGCTCCAGCTGTGGCCCTGGAGAAGCCCCAGTGGTCCTCAGCATATGTGGCACAATCTGCCCACACAGCCCTACCAGGCTCCATAGGGCTGATCGGGGACAGTGATGGTGTCCAGCACAGGCCTCTCGGGAAGGATATGATGCACTTGCCCCTTAGGAACCAGGAGTCTCCAGGGCTGATGTAGGACGCAGGATTCCACAGGGCTGGGGCCTTGAGATCTGAGCGCTGCACTTGGTCCTACACGTCCCATGCCCTTCTTGGTGTCCCAGGAAGGGAGCAAATCTGTCACCCAAGTGCCTGGACATCTATGCTGTGACACAACACTCAACACTGTTTATCTGCTCTCTTCCTACTCACTTAGGTGCTTCACATAATTTATACACTGGAGCTCTGACCACTGTGTGTGTATCATCTCCTCTTGGTCACTTGCCTTTCTCTCTTTTATGTCCCCTCAGATGGCATAAAGCTCTTCCTAGCAGTTGAAGTAAGAATGTGGTTGCTTTCTGTGGTGAGTGCATTTATATACTGGTTAAGAAATCTGATTACCCTGAGGTTATGAAATAATCCAAGTCCTCTGCTAAGAACTGGTTTCACCTTCTCCTCAGACTTCATGCAGCATCTGGACTGATGTGTGTGTGGCATGGGGACACATGACACTTTATTTCCTACACACAGATGTCATTTACTTAATGGCCACCTCTTTCCCGGTCTCCTGCTATTACTGTGGTGCAGGAACGCAGGGACCTGACTCTGCTCAGGGCAGTTTCCAGCCCCATTTTTCTATTCCTCTGCCTGTTTACCTCTCGTGCACTGAAACCCAGCTGTCCTCACTACGCAGCCTTATACCAGCCAGGTGTCTGGGACAGCAGACATTCCCACTCTTCAGGAGGACATAGGCTCCACGACCCTTTGGAATGGACTTGTCACTTCTCACACACCCCAAAAGAGGTGACCCTTGACAAGCATCAGAAATGGACAGCTCTGTGTCATCTACATGCATCTCACCAGGCATCTATAGCTCCCATTTTGTCTCCTGGAAACATCTAATACCTTCCCCCTCAGAGGGATGTTTCATTAGATGTTGAATCAGAGGCAGGCCATTTGGCATGTCTGGTAAATTTTTAAATGTCCTTTTCCAGCTCTTTGCTGTGAGTGCATTAGTACACAAATGTTCACCATGGACCTATGAAGCCCTCTTTTCCTTTACCCAAATGTGTCCTTGTCTCCCACAGCCCCCTTGGTGCCTATGCAGGGCTGGGCAGGAGCTGGTACAGCAGGCCCTCTGAAATCTCCCATCAGTGGAAAACCTCCCCAGTGGCTGTTGGGTGGCGTTCGTTGCTGCTCCCTGTAGAACCTTCATCAAATTTAAGGTAAATCCTTTCTTTACTAGTTTAAGAACTTTGTTTCTTGGGAATGAAGCCTAGGGTCTTCCCATCCAAGGCAGGTGCTCTATCTCTGAACTCCATCCCAGCCCCAGGACTTTTAGCTTGAGTGAACATTAAGGTTTATAAATCTCTCCTAGATGTGCTATATGAATTTTGTCAGCCAATTTAATTCTGCATTTACTGAAGTCAACACATGCTTCCCCCTTATAACGTTAGTACCAGGTTATACTGGTTTCCTAACACATTGATGTTAAACTGACCCTGGGCTCCTTGCCCCAGGTGTATTATGTTTCTGACATTAAACCATTTATCCCAGTATTTTTTATAGGGTTTTTTTTTTTCTTTTTGTATTTCTATGGCTTGAATCCAGGGCCTTCATGCTGACCTACACCCCAAACCCTTTTTATTTTGAAACAAAGTCTGGCTAAGTTACTAAGATGGGCAGGCTTTGCTCAAACTTGCGATCCTCCTAACTCAGCTTGCCAGAGTGCTGGCAGAATAGGCATTCATCACCACACCTGGCTTGTATAGGATTTTGACTTTATACCCATACCAGAAGGCCATTTGAATTCATAATACTCTGTCAGGTTTGGGTACTGATATTATACCACCTACACAAAATGAGCTGGAGAGGTTTGTGGGAGCTTGGGCAGCAAGATGTTCCTAGGTGGCCTGGTGGCTTGAGCCTGGCAGGGCTGGGCAGGGTGGCACCAAAGAAGTGAGGCTGGGAGGCATGCCAGGGACCCAAAGGCAAGTGGTGGTGAGGAGGACTGTGTGGATTCAGGCACCAAAACCAGAGGGTCCGACTACAGCCACCTGTCATCTACCAGTAGTGACCTTTCCCTAGAAGAGGCCCAGGACCCTTTCCTGGTAAGCATCTACATCATCAGAGACACAGCCCAGGCCCAGCTGCTGCAGAAGGCCATCGACAAGGTCTTAGCACGGATCCACCTTGACCTCCCGCTGTTCCATGTGTCTGAGCAGTCTACAGGCCACAAGCAGGGGAAGACCCCCAAATGTGCACAGCTGGCCACAGCACTGTTCCTGCAGGAGGAGGACAGTGAGGAGCAGGTCCTCCAGCTGCAGTGCCTGCCCTGGTACCACCACACAGAGCGCATGCACGGCTGGTTCCAGCCTACCTGCCCTGCAGCCAGGATTCTTCACTCTGGCCCCCAGGACCCCGCTGTGCATCATCTGACCTGTACACTATGGCAAGGAGATGGTGTGTGTCACCATCTACTCTGGCCATGACAGCTATGCAAACAGCCAATGGTTCTACGAGCTGATCCTGTGCCAGATCCCAAACCAGAGGAAAGCAGACTTCTACATCTTCCCCATTTTCTCCAAGCTGGCTGTGGACATCCAGCTCTCCCTGGAAAGACTTCCCTGTGATCAGAGCCCAGTGCCCACCAACTCCTCCATGCTAGAGCTCTGAGTAAAGAGCGCTGGGGAGCTGGTGCCTCTACTGCCCAACCCCTGTCAGCCACATCAGTGAGGGGCACTGGCAGACAGAGGACCATGATGGCAACAAGATCCTTCAGCAGAGACCTCCACCTTCCTTTTTAATTCTTCTGGAAGAGAAAAACTGGGATGTTTTTCTGAAAGCCATTCAGCCTCTTCTAAGAATTAGGAGGTAAGACTCAAGTCCATGAAATTAGGAATGAAAAAGGTAAAAGCACGACAGACCCTGCAGAAATCCAGATCACCCATACCTACTTTGAAAACTTGTATTCTAATAAAATGGAAAATGCAAAAGAAATAGACACATTCCTAGGTACATATGAACTACCAAAGCTGAATCAAGAACATATAAAAATCCTAAATAAACCAATATGACCAATGAAATCAAAGATATAATTAAAAACCTACCAACAAAGAAAAGCCCAGACACTCATGGATTCACTGCTGAATTCTACAAGAAATTTAGAGAAGACGTAACACCACTACTTCTCAAATTCTTTAATGAAATTGAAAGGGAAGCAATACTCCCAAATTCATTCCTGGAAGCAAGTATTACCTTATACCAAAACTGGAGAAGGACCCAACTAAGGAAAAGAACTACAGGCCAATCTTCCTAATGAACGTAGATGCAAAAATCTCAGAAAGACACTGGCAAACAAAATGCAGCAAATCATCAAGAAGATTATACACCATGATCAAGTAGGATTCATCCCAGGGATGCAGGGATGGTTCAACATACATGAATTAATAAATGTAATATACTTATCACTTTATTGATTACTTAATCAATAATGTACTATTTAACAGAGCTAAGGACAAAAATCATATGATCATCTCAATAGATGCAGAAAAAGCTTTTGACAAGGTCCAGCACCCATTCATAATAAAAACCCTACAGAAAATTGGAATAATCTTTATCTCAATCTGACAAAAACCATCTACAATAAACCAATAGCCAACATCTTACTAAATGGATGAAAATTGAAAGCTTTCTCTCTAAAATCAGGAACAAGACAAGGATGTCCACAGTCTCTACTCTTATTCAACACAGTTGGAAACTTTAGCCAAAGCAATTAGACGAAAGAAAGAAATAAAAGGAATAAGGATATGAAACAAAGAAGTTAAATTATTATTATTTGCAGATGATATGATACTCTACATAGAAGACCCCAAGAACGCCACTAAAAAAATTGCTACATTTAATAAGCAAATTCAGTAGTGTAGCTGGATACAAAAGTCAGCACTCAAAAAACAATAGCCTTCTTGTACACAAATAACAAACTTACTGAAAGAAAAATTATGGAAACAACACCTTTCACGATAGCATCCAAAAAAATGAAATATCTAAGATTCAATGTAATGAGGATGTAAAAGACCTCTATACTGAAAACTACAGTACTCTGAGAAAGGAGACTGAAGAGGATATCAGAAAACGCAAAGCTTCTCTTGAGTAGGAAGAACCAATATAGTGAAAATGGCCATACTTCCAAAATTGTATACAAATTTAATGCAATTTCAATCAAAATTCCAACAGTATATCTCACAGAATTAGAGAAAACAATCCTAAAATTCATTTGGAACCAAAAGAGACCTAGAAGAGCAAAGGCAATTCTGGGCAACAAAGGCAAGGCAGGGGGCAGCATGGTACTGGTTTAAAAAAAAAAAAAAAAAAAAACAGACTCAAAGATCAATGGAACAGATTAAAAGATACAGAAACAACTCCAGACACACTCAGCCACCATATCTTTGACAAAGGTGCTAAATGCTTTCACCAGAAGAAAGCCAGTCTCTTTAATAAATGGTTCTGGAAAAACTGGCTTTCCACATGCCGAAGATTAAAATTGGACCCATATCTTTCACCCTGCACTAAATTAAACTTGAAATGGATCAAAGATCTAAATATTAAAACAGAATCATTAAATGTGCTGGAAGACAGAATAGGTAAAACTCTTGAAGACACTGGTATAGGCAAAGACTTTATGAATAAAACCCCGATCACACAGGACTCAACATCTGAGATCTCATCTTATTAAAAAGCTTTTGCACAGC